TTCTTTTCGTTTATTTTTTTATTTCGAAGTTTTTTAAAGTTATGCAAAATTGTTGTTTCTAAAATATTGAAAATTTTGACTTCTAATTCATTGAAGTTTTTATGACTAATTTCAAATATTTTTTTGCAATTGGAAGAAAAATATCTACATTAAAAAAACGCCTATGAGGAATTGTAGTTTCTTTTCCTTAAACTAGCATTTTTTCTCTGTGCAAATAAAATTTAGCACCTGAACAGTCCAGAGATATTTATCAACACAAATCGTGAAATATCTCTTCCCACACTCAGAAAAAAAAAATTTATAAAGAGACTTTACACTTGTTCAAAAGTACAAGAGCAACATTTTAATGATTACTTCATACAATTTTTTTCTCGAAATTAGTAAAATTTTCCTAGTTTTTAGAAAAATGCATATGCAAAATTATTGTTCCTAATTTCAGACATTTTTGTTGTAATTAGAAGAAAAAAATCTACATTTAACACAGCATATTAGAAACTATATTTTCTTTTCCGGAAACTAGTATTTTTTCTATGTACAAATAAAATTTAGCACCTGAACATTCTTCAGAGATATTTATCAACACAAATCGTGAAATATCTCCTTCCGATTTCCTATTATCCTCGATAAAAAATCCACGAACAAGGAAAACGCACCAAAAACCCCCCATAAATCCTTTCTAGCCTTCATCCTGCGGTGAAAGTCGCAATTTCCAATTTCTTCGATTCTGAAAATGTCCATTAAAACATCCACATAAGGTTTATCAAACCAATAAACCATCCAACTATCAATCAAAACTATACAAACGAAAAAGATCCTCGCAATTAGAATGAAAGTCGTTCATCTCATCGCTAAAGGGCAGTTAACGATCTCTGGAAAAAAAAGAAGATAAAAAATTGACTGACACCATTCACACAATGAAACCTTTCCCATTTTCATATCTCCATTTTTGCTATTTATCACGACCGAACGAATGGAAACAATCGTTACGTTGTAAACTAGAATGTTACTTGAATGACGGGAGAGAACTCTTGATCCTGGGCGTAGCCACATCCTTATCTCCTTATCGACCACTCGAGAATAACAAATGGGATCGTAAGACCAACTCCCATTGCTCTGATTATCAATAATTAGTCTTCAACGATTGGAAAGAACTAGCAGAGAAAAAGAAATGATTTCCCTCATTTCATTAAGACTCGAAGTTTATTGACGTCAGTTAACCAATAAATAATGCACAATTTTTCATGGAAAAAATTTATTTGTAGCATGAATAATCGACAATTAGAAAGCCAATTGCCCAAGGGTTTCATCCAGTCTTTCACTTATCGTATGAACGAAGCGAAATCATATTGATTTGCATAGACAAGTGAATCAGTCAACAGTGAAAAAATTGAAATTGAACAATAGAAATTGCATTGTGAATGTGCGCATCATTATGAATCCTATGAAAAGTATAATTTCCGTAACTTTAGATGTTACTTGCATTTTTCAAAATATGGACTGTTACGTAGTTTCTGGTTAAGGTTTCTTTTTTTTGAGATAGTATACTGTGTTAGTAGTGCGTAAAGTTCCACTTTTCCGCACGCACGTGCAACACATTCTAGTTTTTGTGACACCTGCCGAGTTCACTGTTCGGAACGGTAGTGGGGGTAATGTGGTTGTTTTTGTGCACGTGTGCGTAAAGTTGAATAGTGTGCGTAAAGTGAATTCTTGTGCGTAAAGCATATTTTACGCACGCCCGTGATCTTTACGAACGCCGTGTGGAAAACATCCGCTTTACGTACATTAAACCGTTTCGAAAAATGCACTTTTGAGGCAGGCATCACAAAATAGTCTATTGTGTTCGTAGTGCGTAAAGTTCCATTTTTTCGCACGCACGTGCAGTACATCCTATTTTTTGTGATACCTGTCGAGTTCACTGCTCGGAACGGTAGTGGGGGTAATGTGATTGTTTCGTGCACATGTGCGTAAAGTTTAAGGGCGTGCGTAAAATAAATTCTCGCGCGTAAAACATATTTTACGCACACCGTGCGGAAAACAACCGCTTCACGCGCACTAAACCGTTTCGAAAAGTGCACTTTTGAGGCAGGTATCGCAAAAATATGCTTTCCCCAATTTCTGAAATTTCCGTTTATCGGATTAACTATGGAAATTACGGTTGTTCAGACTCATTATCGGAACGTCTGTGAATGAAAAATCTCTCATTGTGGTCATTAACTTCGAATTGAGAAACGAGATAAAAACAAATGCGATATCAAATTCAGTCATCACCTATTATCTTCGTTAGAGGAGAAAATGTGATGATAGGAAATGATGGATATGATGCCTATAAACCAGTAAAATAGAGTTGTGTCTCTGTACAGTATTTGTGTACCTTTCCAATTTATGATGGTGTGTTTCGCACGACCCGAAACTATAAAACAAGACCTCGGTGATTGCTCAGAACGCCAGAAGGGAGGCTTTGCCCTGATCTATGCACCGTTAGAAACTTAAATCGTTTATTTTCCTAGTCTCGTATCTTCGGGCGTATGTTTGACCTGCGGGTAGTACCTAATCATCCTGTAATTAAACTGTTCCAGTTGCATCAACAAGAACAAGAGAGAGTATTAGTAATATTCAAAATTCCAATGAGGATGAGTTGAATGTTCATTCGAATTCATCAATTTTCGTGGTACATTTTATCTTCTTTCTTATCTATTCCATTGATTTTTAGTCGTCATTTGAATACTGTAGCTGCAAGCTGAAATTATTTGAGTCATCTTGATCGTTCAATCATCTCGGCAACAGAGCATGCTAGGAGAAATCATCAAAAGGAGTACAAACATGCGTCGAGACAATTTTTTTCAACACTGCTGATGCCATAGATTGTTAATTGGATAATAGGGTAAAACTCTTTGATGAATTTTTAAAGAGTTTTAAGCGCCGCGGGGCCCTTTTTGTAATTTTTGGAAAAACATTACTTTAGGGCATTGAAGTAGCCCTACCCTTCGGCCGGGCTACGCTGTACTTTTGGATATTTTCAGTTTTTAAATTTTTCAACTAAATTGCATGGAAAAAATTTGTAAAAATTCATACTCAGTCAGTATTATCTAAATTAAATTTCGCAAAATATTAATATTTTTTTCAAACATTTCCCTCTTATAAATAAATAATAAAACTTGTTTACAAAACGGTGGATTATTTCTTATGAGGTGTCAAAAAAATTCTTGATTTTTTCACATCTAATGAAAAAAAATTCAGATTTTAATCTTTGATTACAATGGAAATGTTGATTTTCACATAAGACTGGGTTAAATCCTGATTTTTAAACATTTCTTCTTTGAAAAACATTAAACGATAATTAAATTGAGAAAAAAATTAGAATTCCGAATCTAATCGAGTTTTCTGCAATTTTTTTGCAGTTTTCAATAATTTTTGAATTTACCGTAAGGGTAGAGCTACTTTAAGGACATCCAATTATGGGTTTCAAGTTGGCAACTTATTTTCAAACAAGATTTCAGTTTTTGATGTCAAATCTTGCCATCCCGATACTTTTTCAGATTTTAGATTGTTGAGTCCATTTTTTTAGGAATTTTTCATCACGCTGTGACGAATAGTGAACTTTTCGGCACGCTCCGCGTGCCTAAAAGTCCAATTTCCGCCACATTGTGATGAAAAATATTGTTCGTAACTCGTGAAAAAATGTTTTTTAGCTCGTGGGATTATATCACTCGCCTTCGGCTCGTGATATAAACCTCCCACTCGCCAAAAAACACTTTTTTGCACTCGTTACGAAAAATACTATCTTCAATGAAAATTCTGAACAATATTTTATTTAATTTCACACTTGACTCTCGTCGGTCTAACTTCTGATGATCATACGGCAACACTGCACATATGTTCCATATAACCGCCTAAATTCAGTCTGATTAGGAATACAAATTTTCATGAATTTTTTACTCACAAAGGTTTTGTATGAAGAGAAAAATCTAAAAATGGTGGGCACTCCTCATTGTGTGGTCACTTAAGGGTTAAATTGATTTCAATACTACGCTGCTGATAATTATTACTACCAAAAAGTTCATGAAATTTCGATTTTTTTCTAACAGTAAAGACAAAAATTTCACAAATTTCCCCAATTCCTCTTCATCAATTATCAACAGCGATCGGTCGATAATCATTACATTTGTGATATTTTGTAATATTATTAGAATTTGCACCTTTTTATTACTGTTTTTTTTTATCTTAATTGAAATGTGAAAATAATAAAATAATTCATAATTTAAATTTTCTATTAACTATTGAGTAAATAATTCTAAATTTCATAAAAGGATTTTTCGAGTAGACACGTAATGGTCAAACTTCTGACACGATTACTGGTTGATAGATTATTTCAGAATTTGATTATTCTATTGATGATTAACTTGGTAATTGAAAATTGTTGGGTAATATTATCAGTCAACATAAGCTAAATTTAACTTATTTTAAAATTGATGATTTTTCCCATTCTTGATTATCAATAGTCTAAAAATCTTCAAAACGACCGAAAATTCCACTTCAAAAATCCAATGTGAATATTAAATTCCTCGGAGATGCTCCATCGTGTCACAATAAAACCCCTATAAAAAACATCAGAACTGCTGTCTCTCACAGTTTTTCAACTCACTCCCCTCTGTCTAATCAGAAAAAGCCGCCAAAACCCCCTTCACTCCGCAAATAATCCGTCATTCCTTTCGCTCCATTCAATCAACTCTCCACTTCAACCAGCACCGGCTCAAAAACTTCGCTGTACAGTGGCGCTCCCTCACCCAGTTGTCCTCCAAATCCCCTCAACAATGCGCAAGGTCGTTCAGTAATGAAAAGTTCAGATAAAAAATCGCGACTTTAGCCATCTGCTGTACTTGATATCCACGCATGTGCTATACCCCTAGTGCTACCGCGCAGTCGCGTCTGCAAGCCTTATCGATTACTCGATAAAAAGAGCCCCTCCACTTGTTCTGTCTGTTGTCATGCGTCAAGCGAACTACCGGGACAGTTTGCGGTGTTGTTTCCACTCATCCGCATCGCTTTACCCATTCATAAAATCCATTTTTCTGTCCTGTGTATTCCAGTGTGACTCGTGTCAGCGATTGAAAAAAATAGTGAAGCAGTTATTAAAGTAAAAAAAAAAATTATAACAATTGATTGAAGTTCTTACGGATTGTGGGGCCGCCTGGCCATTGAGTTGTATGAGAGACAGAGAATAATAAAAAACCAAGTCAGAGTGAAAGTCGATTTCGTGTTACCGTGGAGGTATTATACGTCAAGGAATCGGCCTTCCACCTGTGTATTCACTCGTTGAACCGTGACAACCGGGGCAAAGGTGGAAGTGTACTAGAGAGGATTCACCGGGGGATAAAAGATCTTTTTTGCAATTGATCTTGCGGGGAGATAATGGAGATTATGTTGGGGTGATTTGGTGGAGGGGGAGGTTCTAACGGCCAGGCGGCCTTCACTTGCCTTCCGGTGTGAAGGGGTTTTTCTTTTTATATTACTCGGTGGATGATTTGAGTCACATTGGAGCAGAGGAATCATGAGCTTGCTGTCGTCATCGATCATACGGAGGCTGGGCGAGGAGGAGGCTGATCACAATATGCTGCAGGGTAGGTTTATGGATTTTTCGGTTGTGGAACAGGCATCAGGATCAATCATTGTATTATTCAAAAATAATACAATTATTGAATTATTTTATTTGTTTTTATTGTATTGCGGGAAGTTGCACCTTAAAATGATTATAGTTCACTTATCTTCGCTGACATTTGAAAAATAATGGAATAATTCAGTGGCGAAACGGTAAAATGGTTCAAGTCATTTTAGGCCTTGGCTGAGTTTTCGAGGAATATCTCTTTTTGTTTTTGTTATATTTAATTGCTCGAAACTCTGCAAGTTTGTATATAGCTGAAAATTACAGAAAGAAAGAAATAAATAATAATTTTACATATATTTATATATAAACAAATGATAAACTTAATATAGTTATCCGTATACGTATATGTGTATAATACATTTTCATTATCATTTTTAATGTTCATACTTTTAAATTACTGTCATTGAGAAACTTTGTGATTATTTCTGTACATTTGGGATTTAGGTTCTTTAGGATAGCTCGACTAGAGTAGGGAGGAAAGAATTGGTTCCTTTGCGAGGAGGAATATCTTAGAATCTACGGTAGATAACTAAATTTTCGTAATGACCTTTTTTGTAGGACGGATTAAGGACTGCAAAAGAGGTTATGACAACAATTTTGCTATCTCCTTTAGATTTCGAGATATTCGTTGAAAACTGCCCAATAGCCAAAATCGAGTTGAACCGTTTTACCACTTCGCTACTGAATTGATAGTCTAAATTTTCAACTGACTATAAATATCTATAAATAATTGATAATATCGTCGCATTAAAATCACAGGGGCGTAAGTGCCAGAAAACCCATTTTAAAAGTGAAAGGGGCGTATGTTCCGAATTCCTGTTTTTTCTGTTTTTCATGGAATTTCTGACCAAAAATCGGAAAAAAAAATCTAGGAAAAAGGCGTAATTGCTATATTTCAACGGGAAAGGGGCGTATCTCCACACTTACGCCTGTTTCATTTCATTCAAAAAATGACACTTACGCCCTTTTTACATTATGTGTTGTGCACTTCGGATGACACATTTCATGTTGAAATAAAACGAAAAGGGCGTAAGTCCCACATACGCCTCTCTCTCATTATATCTTAGGTCTACTCGCGATAATGAGTTTTATATTGTTATATCAACATAAAACGCTTTAACTATTTTCTTCTTCCTTTATGGTCTCATTTTCTTCCGAAGTGTTCAAAGCAGTCACGACTCGAAATTTCATACAGATAATTTCCTGAAATTCGCAGTCATAATTTAAAAAAATGAAATAAATTAATGAATGAAATCGAATAAATTTAGAAGAAAATTTTAGAAAATTTTAGTTTAGTTACTGATATTTCTCATGAAATTGTTTCATTCAAGCAAAAAATCAAAGGGAAATAATTTGAACATTCATGGAGAGGGAGGGAGGGGAGGTTAATGTAGAATCAAATATTATTTATTATTAGGGCTGTAGTGCATGTGATTCCGTTTATACTTGATGAATCAATAGGAACGAACAGTAACAAATGAAGGGACATATATATTGGAGTTACGCCCCTCTGTGATTATTGCTTCAAAAACAAAGGGACGTATGTGCCTGAGTTACGCCCCTTTGGAATTATTCATTCTCAATATGAGCTAGAAAAGAAACAAAAAGTATAAAAAGAAAGAGGCGTATGTGCTGGAGATACGCCCCTTCAGTACTTGCTAGTCGGACTTACGTCCATTTGGCACTTCAGAAATTTGTCCACAAAAAACCTTTCATAAGTTGAGAAAACTCCATTTCGAAGGAAAAAAAAACATACGCCCCTTTGGTATTAAGAGAAAAAAAATCTCAGAGAAATGGCACTTACGCCTCTTTGATTTTAATGCGACGATATGATATTGTCAATTGACTATTGAGCAAATAATTCTAAATTTGTTAGAAGTATTTTTTCGATTCGCCAAATAATCATCAATTTTCCGAACTCAATTATTGATTGATAGAATAATTTGGGTTTTGAATATTTAATTGATGATGAATTCAATAATTTAAAAATTGTTAGGTAATAATTTTTTTCTTCTCGTATACTCTCTCGGGTCTTTATGATTTGTTCCCTTCCCACCCCCCAACCCCCTGTACCGCATTCGCCGAAGGACAAGGGAAAACTTCATTTTTGAGGGAAAAACCTGGCCAGGTACAGTCGTCTCTTGCGAGATTCCCGCTCGACAATGAAACCGAGAGATTTAGTGTCACAAATTTTGGCCCCCCCCAGCCGGGAATCGAACCCGGGTCTCCCGCATGCCAATCCCACACTTTTTTTTAAACAATTGTTTTTATTGAGTGTTTGTAACAGTATATACAATATTTACAAAAGAAAAAAAACAACGTTTTAAAAAAGTCTATGTACAGATTTTTCCAAAAGGAAGTTAGTGATACGTATGGCCAATTGTTGGGCACTCGCGGATCTACATTGTATCATATTTGTGTGTATGTCACCATATTGTAATTACAATAATGAATGCTACTAATCTTGAAGTACAGTATTGGGAATGATAGTGGTAAAATTAAAAAAAAAAGGAAGATTATTTTTGACAGAAAAAAATCCACTTGAAATATCATGAAGGCCTTGGCCGGTAGCTTATGCGAACAATAAAATTAGTTTTACAAAGTAAATATATTATTATTATTTTTTTGTTGATCCTTGATCATACAATATCTTCCCAAGGGATAACTGAATCATTTATGGTGGACGTAAATGTTGTTTATTTATCTTCATAATTGAAAATTGTATTTAGTTCTTGAATAACAGTATTGTCTTCTTTCAGCCACCAGAATTTGGTAGTTAATCTTGAGAAGTCTTCGATATCTTTCTTTGATAGTGCAGTCGAATATATGAGATCATTTGTGTCTGGTATATTCATTGGAATTTTTTTATTGTTTTTGTGTCGTTGGATATCCGCTGCTTTATACAGAACTTCATTGCTCACTCTGTGGCGATAATCTGTATGTGTTGAGCGATATAATTTAAGAATTGTTCTAAGGCATTGTCTTTCGAATATTCTGATTCTTTCCATATGGTGCCAATCCCACACTCTAACCACACAGCCACCGCCATCGTTTGTTAGGTAATATTAACCAATTGATGATTGTAGCGATGCTTGTTGAGGAAGATTTAGAGGGGTGCATGGAAAATTTCTGGAGATTGGGGAGAGGGTGAGGTGGGTATTGCAGTGGCAGCAGTGATGTGATTTCAATTCTGAAAATGATTGCAATAGTGACTGGAGTTTTATCCCATTTTCTTCTCCCGAATATTTATACACTGACTAGGCGGCTACGCCCCCTGCTCGCTATTTCCCACATGACCCTCATCATCCTTATTCTGACCCTTGTAACCATATCACCCTTATTCTAACCCTTGTAACCCTTAATCTGAGCCGTGGCCCTTATTCTGACCCTCATGACCCGTATGATGACCTTCATGATCCTTAATCTGACCCCTGTAACCCTTAATCTGACCCTCGTGACCCTTATGGTCCCTATACTGAGCCTTACGACCTTTATTCTGACCCTTAATCTGATCCTCATAACCCTAAATGACCCTCGTGATCCTTATTCTGATCTTTATGACCCTTAAACTGACCCCTGTAACCCTTAATCTGCCTCTCGTGGCCTTTACCTGACCCTCGTGACCTTTAATCTGACCCATATGACCCTTTTAACCCTCAATCTGACCCTTAATCTGAACCTCATAACCCTTAATCTGACCCTCGTAACCCTTATTTTTACCTTTATGATCCTCAATCTGAACCCTGTAACCCTTAATCTGACTCGTGATCCTTATCTGACGCTCGTGATTTCGTGACCTTTATGACCCTTATTTTACCCTTTGAGACCCTTAATTGTGGAGTCTTAATTTCGAGTATCAGTTTTTCATCATCAGAAGTCGATTTGAATTTTTATAATGTAGAGAGATAGAATGATTTATTCATAGTGACCTATGCCGCTTTCCGTCCCGTCATTTGGGGAGAAAAATCGAATTTACCGTGCAGATATGACGAAAAAATTGTTCTTTACTGTTATTCAGTTTTATATATATGCAATTAATATAGGTATTCATGGGAATGTTATTACAGGAAGTAATTATAAATTTTAGTTATTGTATTCATTATTGACTGCACCTTCGAGTGTCAAGAGGTCGGTAAGAGCTTTCTTGTAGTAAATTTCGTCAGCTACATAAGAGATTGTCTTGGTATTTCGTTCTGAGGTCACGTTTCTGAGATAATTGCATGAACGATGAAGATGTCACACCTGACATTCTCGGTTTTTTAAAGAGTTTATTAAAATGGTAATACTGGGGACCAGAGAAAACGAGAATATTGTTTTCATTATTCATGTGGATCACAGAGAGAAAAGTTTCTAGTTTTAGTAAAAATTCTTTGAAACTCAGAAATCTGTCTGTCTTATTCTCTATTTTGAGAGAATTTTCTAATTCTGAGTATTTTTGAGATATACATATATTATTATATTACATAATTGTAGTTCTACATTTTGGTTTGGAAATTCAAACCTTTTAGGTCCTGAAAATTAACAAATCCTTCACGTTGTTGAATCAAATGCAACCGAGTTTTCAAATTAAGAACATTGTCATTCTTGAATTTGAAGAGTTTTCCTGTTTGAAAATTGATCTATTCATATTTAAGTCGTTTCTTATTCAAAGTTATCATATGAGATCTTGACTCCATCTTGTGTACTCCGCCAAGACATGTACTATAGATTCTATATTACAGTATAGGATTCTATCGGGACAAGGATCTGATCGGGATAAATAATATTTCGGAATAAAAATTATTTGGAATTGATTCATCATGAAGAATAAGTGCAAAGAAAGCCAAACGACGAAATTTCAATACACCCATGAACTTTTCGCCATTTCATTATGTTTTTTCAAAGGATGCAGAGGAGTGTCGGAACCTTTAATATTTTCCCCCACTCCATAGCCCCAAAATTTACTGTGGAAGTTCC